GAGCTTCTGCTATTATTAGCCATGCTAACGTAAATGCTGGCTTTGGAGGACGGAGTTAATGTCAGCAGATTTTTAGAGGGCGTTACCAATAGAGCTCATTAACATAAACAGCTCTTCTGAACAGAAGTCGGAGCAGGCAGAACTAGAAAATGGGAAATTTTATTATCTAAGAATTATTTTGTGCATTAAATTGAATGAACATGGTCTGGATAGTCCACAGACATACCATAAAAATTTCTAGGACCCATAATTGGTCTCCTTTATGGACACAAAAAGTATAAATTAAGTAGGTCCTCTGGATGGGTTCTTTAATGAAACGTTTTGTCTCTCTTCCAAGAGACTTCTTCAGTCTGATGAGTTTCAGGTGACCTCAGCCTTAAAAGCACTGCCTCCACATGGTGGACAAACAGGTTGTTCATATGCAAAAGAGGATCATCAGTCAAACAATAGATCGTTAACCCGTTTGAGGCACTTTGACAAGCTAACATTCCTGAAAACATTTCTGAATGTTCTAAATAAATGACTTTGTAAAAAGTAAAGTTTTATGATATATATTCAAACTCACATTTAGCTGTTACAGCATAAACAAACTGTTAAAATATGACTTTGGTCCACCCCAGTCAATCCACCCCGGGCAGCCGAGGTGTCCGGATGTCCTGATGTGAAAAAACCCTCCGCTGCGGAGGCTCTATTTTAACTGACCGGGTTCTCCTGTAGCGTGAGGCATCAGACATAAAACAAACTGAATTAACTATTCTTTGTGGTTAAATATATTTTTTAAAACAAAGGTGATGTGTCACATGGAGTTTAGATCAGGAATAAAAATTAAAAAAAACTCTACGGCCATCTGAATCCAACCAGACATACGTACCGTTTGATGTGATCCCGTTTTTATTTCATTCTCACAGCTTTAAAATGTTCCTAAGTTTAAAAAGACCTCGGCATTTTTAGTCTTTGTGTGGACACTGGATGTTCTGACATGGAGCAACCTGCAGAGCAGCAAGTGTCCGGTCCGGTTCCCTCCTCCCACTGTCTGTGGGTGTCCGCTCTCACTTGTTCTCATTTACCTGCAGTTACTGGACGTAATGCGGGGTGAGCCGCTGAGCTTCAACTCTACACCTTTTATTCTTTCTTGAACACAGTAAGGCTGTGGCAATGATCTATAGTAATAATTATAATAATAGCTGTGGAGCTGTGTGTGTGTGTGTGTGTGTGTGTGTGTGTGCGAGGGTTTATATTTTGGCCCGATCTAA